ATTCAAGAGAATGAGATCTGTAAAACTGACGCACACGCAACACTCAAGTTCTGGAGCAGGACTGCAGTTCAGTAGTGGACGAGCAACCAGAACTTTCCGCCAAAGTGTACAGCTGGTGAACAAGAAGAAGAAGAAAAAGATTTATCATTATCTGTTATCATTCTCATACTCATTGGTACAACAGTTTTGGTTGGCTTTCTTCTGTTATTCTAAAGAAGTATATAAATTTACATGACATTCCGTCTCAGGTCAGTGTTAGAATCTAGAAATATCTCAACAGGTGAGTGCATTTATTTCCAGTGACATCAGTCAATATGTACATTTTTTTAACTTCAAATACATGTGTGGACCACTCCTTAAATCCCACAATAATAAATGTATGCACATTATCTGTTGGCTTTCTCATATTGTCTTATATACCGCCTTTTCTTACTATTTGCTGCCCAGTTTCTATGCATTTCCTCTTGAGTCAAAATAGATTGTTATCTCATGCTCATATTTTCATTTATTTCAGCAATACTTCAAGTCAACTTTCATCATGAGGATGAACAAGCTACTGATGATCAGCGCTCACAAAATTTGCAGTTATGCTTTCCAAACGACAAGCGATTGGCCCATCTACACCTAAAACACGCAAGAGGAGGGCATTAATTGCTTCAAAAACAGACGAGCAACATGAGGTAAGACTGGAAACCATACGAGTGCGCACTGCTGAAGCCCGTTCATCTCAATCAGACCAGCAACGGAAAGCAAGACTCGAAAACGTTCAAATGCGCACTAGTTTATCCAGGCGAACACTGCATGTTGATTTGAATCTTGGTGCATTCCATTACACCAGCAATTATGATTGGTCTTCATCCACTCTCGCTTATTGACAAAATGGATAAATTGTGCGTACATTGCAGTGCCTTCAAATTTAAGAATGACATGCCGGGTATGTGCTGCGCTGGTGGAAAAGTTAAATGGCCAGTATTACATTCACCACCCGAACCATTATCATCATTGGTAGTAGGTGACACAGGCCAGTCGACACATTTCTTGGCAAACATAAGTACATTTGCAAATATGTCAACAAAGGAGGCGATATGGCAGTCTTTGGAGTGGGTTCATGCAGCTGCATCTATCGATGAAATCAAGCAATATCAGCTGGGGCGCTACATTAGTAGCAATGAAGCGGTATGGCACATTTTCTCATTTCCAATTCATGAATGACATCCAGCAGTTGTTCATTTGGCAGTGCACCTTGACAATGGACAGCGTGTGTACTTCACTACAGAGAATGCACAAGCACGAGCATTGTTACCACCGCCAACCACGTTAACTGATTTTTCTCATTGTGTAGAGATATGTTTGCAAAGACACTGCTTTACTCTGACCTGCCAATAACTAACAAAGCACTGGTTCAGGTGGGACTGGCTCCACCAGAACAATCTGCAAACAACCTTTTCGATCGTGAGTTGCCATGAATCCGAACATCTAAGACAAATTACCAGGCGGTGTGACAACGTATAAGTCTATCGATACTGTAATCTGGTAATCCTAGTTTCAGCATCATAGCAAACGGGTCACCCCATTGTTGCTCCGCTCCTGTGCCAACGAAAAAACACTCGTAGCTCACAGTGTCACACCATGCACTCAACTCAGAAGCTGGGTGACGAAACTATATCCTTCCAGTCTACAAATGGAGCAAAAATGCAACGGCCACCGCCTAGCAGAACTGCCACGGCTTAAAAAAAAAAAAAAAAAAAAAAAAAAAAAAAAAAAAAAAAAGTGGCCGTGCCTAGCGTCCACTGTGACTTGAAGCATTATGTGAGGGGTTAACAAATGGTCACCCCAGCAGTACCCGCACTATTAGCTGGGAAAGGGACTTAGGACATTACATCCACCAGCAGGCGTCGCCCTTACAACGACCTGACTGCCTTCGTTAACGACTGTTCACCCAACAGCCATGCAGTTCTTTGGCACGAAGGAGACACCTTGAACTTGGGTTTCGGAATGCCGACTTCCTACAAAATGTTATTTTGTGTTTTGTTATCACAATCGACGTCACTGCACATTGGGCATACCCATGTGTGCGCAGTCCTCCGAAGCAGCAGCCACTCCAAAGTACTTCTACTAATTGTCCCCATGAGAAGCTGGTTATATTGTCTCCTTTCTCGGCCTCGCAGACGGCAAAGACGTGCTTCACCATGCTTAACTCCCATGTCACGCAATCGTGTTAGTGTCAGGGATTCGATATTATCCACTAGCCCAGTACGTACAGCGTTAACGATATCTGCTCTGTCCATGCTTTTTCCCGCAATCATTAGTGCTGTGCTTGCCAGTTGGTCCGCTCGCTCATTTCCCTTTACGCCCGCATGACCCGGTGTGTAGATCCAGGTTTATCGATACTGTAATGAATCAGGACGAAATTGTTAATTATCCAACTGAGTTTTTAAATTTAACTGATTGGCCAGGCATGCCACCCCACGTTTTAACTGTGAAAATTGGCGTGCCCATCATTCTTCTCAGAAACATCAAACTGCCACGTCTTTGCAATGGTACCAGGCTTTCAGTGAAAAGGCTGATGCTCAATATCATCGAAGGTACAATTTTAAATGGGAAATTTAAAGGCGAGAATATACTTTTGCCACGCATCCCAATGATTCCAACAGACATGCCATTTGACTTCAGACGCTTACAGTTTCCGGTGCGACTCGCCTTTGCAATGACCATAAACAAATCACAGGGACAATCCCTACAAGTGTGTGGACTACGTTTGGAACATCCATGCTTTTTACATGGACAGCTATATGTGGCTTGTTCACGCGTCGGAAAACCTTCTAATTTATTTGTGTACGCGCCAGACAGAAGAACAAAGAACATTATTTACCCAAAAGCACTTCAGTAAACACATTTTTAATGTTAAATTACCGGCACAATGATAAAAAATAATTACATTTTGTTAAAGCGATTTTCCTTTCAATCCACTTTCTATTGTAGCAACGCGTGCATGGTTGTTTACAGCAATTAGCAAATGTGCTCATTTTCATTGCTTTTCACTAGGGTAATTTTTCCAACTACTTCGATGAAGGAGAAAGTAGTATGTGAACTGGGGGGATGGGTGGTTACAATAAACTGTTTACTGAGATAAATTTAAGTTACAGTAACTGCCTTACCCACTCAGTTTTATTAGCTGTGGTTTAGCTGTTGCACTGTACATCGCTAGCGTGAAGCGAAGACACATTTCTATGTTCTCTTTTTTCCATGTAGCCAAATTACGCCACAGCAACGCGTGGCCGGGTACAGCTAGTTTCTTATATAGATAGAATTATCATCACCATGTAGCAGGTCCTTTGAACGTCGCTCTTATCACTGTCTGCCTGAAAGAAACCCATTCTCTCACCAGCTCTCTTCCTCGTACGCTTTCACATTCAAGGAGTCACTTATATCCTGTGCCAATCTTTGTGTTGGTCGGCCCTCCGCCTCCTACCTGGTACCATGCCTTATGCTATTATTTTTTCGTCCTACATGACCAAAATATTTCACCTTCTGAGACAAGATGCTGTTTATCGGCCAGTCTTTCTTGATGTTCAGATCCTTTAAAATCTGTATTTCTTCTCTTCTATGTCTAATGTATTCTGATAATTTTTCTGCAGAAAGGAAAATACAGACACCGAAGAAATAAATGAACTTCTTTTTGCAGACGATCAACGTCTAATACGCCATAAAGAATAAAATTTACACCATTCTGACTCCTTACATCAAATTTCTGCACACAGTATTATATGAGAATGAATACTGTGAAAAATGAGGTAATGAGAATTATCAGGAAACATAAAAACATATACATATACATTCACGTTAACATTTACAATCAAGTACGAGAATTCACATAACTAGGAAGCTTATTTACTGGGGATGGCAGACTCGATAAAGAAATAGAAACCAGAGTACAGAAGGCAAATGCTATCACCTACCAGTTAGCCCAACTTTTTAGACACCCAAATGTCTATCTTGAAGCAAAGCAACAAATGATTATTAACATTTTTATCCCTACTTTGTGCTACCAGTGCCACACATGCCAAACATAGACAATGTACAGGACACTAGAACAGAAAATAACTACATGTGAACTGCTCTGTCTCCGCAAGGTGTCTAACAACACAAGAAGGGACAGGATTATATTGATAACAAAGAATGACATTTTTCGGCCAACTAGTGAGAATGCAGCCAGACCAAACTGCATACGAGACTTTTTACAGTAGAACATCAGGAAGGAAAGCAAGGGTAAAGACAAAGAAAGAGAAGGATAAGTGGCATAGCTTAAACCTGAAAAAATATCAACAAATCCATCACTCATGCCATGCCACCCAAAAAGAACAAGACAAATACTGAAAAACATGACACTGGGCTACAACCTGGTATCAGTGAGATGACAAAAGAAGGAAATCATTTCTGACACAGGTTTTATTTTTTTCCATGGTCTTCAATTCTCTCTCTCTTCCCTTCCATTTGCCATGAATCCCCAAACAATATAGATTGTCTCCTTCTGTTGCAAGTAATTCTGTACCTGATCACAGCCATATTACAGCATTTGGTTACTCTATCATAGTCGTTTTCTAAAGATATGTGTGAGCAAAGTTTGTGGTTCTGCCTCTTTATGCTTGCTTACCCACACAGGAAGATCATGGCTTATGTCACAATTGATATACTATATCTGAAGGTCATGACACAGTATTCTGTCAACATGCCTCGCAAAGGCCAGTTACAATAACAGATATTCAGATTTTAAGAATGCATCTTTGCTGCTTCAACTTTAATGTGCAATGGGAAAATATACTATGTTAATTATAAACAAAACGATATGAGACCCTTAAGTTAAAAGTATTTTTTTTTAAAGTGGGAAAATAAAAATATGTTAGCAAAACTATATCAGGTAAAATCAGGCTTCTAGTTTGAATTTATGTTTTAACAATAACTTCAATTTAAAACTCCCTGATATTAAGTTATTTACTTACTTTCTTAGACTTTTTAATTACTGGTTGTGGCTTCAACTCTTCTTCACTGAAATTTCTCAGCCGAGGGTCAAAACTTTTCTCACCTGTAATGATCAAAAGTTTTCCTTACTGGCATCAGAATCAGTGTTCAGCATTAATTTTGGTTCAAATAACAAATGCAATGAAGGGTTAGAGAGTAAGCATGGTAGCTCAGCTATTCATCAGCTTCATTTGTATCTTTTTTATTTCATGATAAGATCCAAATCAGGAGCATAAAGGATTTTCTGTCCAGGACATTCAGGCATGCGGAGGTACTGACCACCTCTGGACAGTAAGCTATATTTTGATACAGCAAATGTGGTGAAGGCTCTATGGTATCAAATGCAGAAAAGATAGAGAATCCATACACTGCAAGAATAATTCAACAGGGTGTGTGTAGAGTTGTGGAAGATATTTTAAAATGGGGGGGGGGGGGCAGACTTTTTATCAGGTTGCAACTGGTACTATTAGCATGACTCTTTGTTGGCTACTGAAGAAGAGGATGGAGCACATATGGAAATATCCCAAGTACAGTGATGTAAATTTTCGATTTATTCATTCATTCATTTTCCAGGGCATGCTAATGTTTTAGGAAATGAACAAGCTGGCAAATTAACTAGTTTCTTATAACTGGATAGGAACTGATCCCTGATATGGCAAATGTGGTAAATGCCCCTTTAGAAAGGAAGAGTGCAGAAGAGTGCATTTGAGTCTAGAATTATACAATGGAAAGGTGTGCCTGGCAGTCACAGCAGCTTTCCACTGGATTAAAAACCTGCTGCATACACATGATGTTACTGTAACCGATTTACAAGACATTGTTATGGCTTACATAATCTAAAGGCCTTTATCTCTTGTGCTTAAAATGTATTAGCTCCTTGCTTAATAATAATAAATTTTATACATTCTAGAAGTATTGTGGATGAGGGGGTGTAAAAATTACTGACTACTGTTTTCAGCTCAAAGTAATATGTCACCTTACTTATAAGTTTGTCAAACATAATCTTTTTTAAGTGTCCAGCTGTCACAACATTTTTGAAAATATATCCACCAAAGCCATACAAATAAAAACGATTCATATCAAAGAACACAATAGCTGATAAACATGTACATGTATCATTACAGTATACTGGACTGAAGGAGCTGCAATGGATCATTATTAAAGAGTCAGCTGATGAAACTAGATGCGGGTAAATGTGGGATGTAGAAGAGACACCCTGGCAGTATGAATGCAATATATATATTTGCACTGCCTACTGCTGCAGATAGGCTCAAAGTTCTGTAAACAACGACATATCTCAGGTTAGCTGCAGTCAAGAAGCACCTCCTGCATGAAGACCTTGGTAGTCTAAGTGTCATAGAGGCGCATGCTGAAGACAGAATTAGACATGTGTGCAGGCTTAATAAATCTGGGTTAGAAAAGGAATGGGTCAAAGTGTCAGAGCAAGACTTGTGTTGAATGTTGTTGAATTAAGAATCGACATCACAGCACTCGGGACACTCCAATAAATGCTCTGTCCCCATGTTCAGCAGCAAGCGAAGAGTTACAATTCTGATCGTACCAGTAATTGTTTCACTGTATATCTGTCTCGTCCTTCCTTTGAGTGTTGAGTGTCGGCCAGATCCACTAGTAACTCCCCGCAGTGCCATTTTCAGACTGTAATTATCTATCTGCGCCTTCTCACAGTTCACTCTGTCCTAAAGGACCTTCACATCTAGCTTGAATTCACCATCAAGTGGTGCAGAATTAGCCACTCTTTATATCTCCTCATTTCCCACACCAGCATGACCTGCAGAAAATATCCAAAAGGATCCTAACTACCCTGGACCTCTGAAGTGATGGTTGCCACTCTGCAAGAAAAGTCTGTTGGGTTCTAATCATTTTAGGTCATGAATGCAGGAACTGGGACGCTGGTGCTGCAGAATCAGAAGTTCAATAAATGATTCATGACATTTCCCACCCAGGTGATGTGATTATCTTTAAGATGGCTCTGTGTTCAGTTAGACGAAGTGCATGGGGGTTCACAGCAAAAGCTAATGGACATCACTTAGTGCAGCAAAGTCTGACATATTATTTCAGGTCTAGTTTGAGAATGGAGATGGAGACAGTCGCTGCTTTCTTTCGCTGATGTGAAAATCAGCTGTACACACATCGTAATTGTAACTGATACAGAGAGCATGCTCAGAAAGATGTAGACAGGCATGTTTTGTGCAAGGTGGCAAATATCACTTCAGAAATCCCAGATAGTTAGTGTCCTTTAGATATTTTTTACAGGTCAGGCTGGTGTGTTGGGAAATGAGCAGCCAGATAGACAGACCAGTTCTGCATCACTTAGTGGCAAAATGATGTATGACAAGTTAGATGTGAGGGCCCTTTGACAGCGTGTGAACAGTGCGGAGGCACAAATGGATCATTACAGTCTGAGGAGAATGGCGCTGTGGGGAATTACCAGGGGATTTGACCATGCAATACTCAAGGGAAAGGCGAGATTGATGCACAAATCAGACTGTTATTACTGGTACTATTGGAACTGGAACTTTCTGTGCGCTGATGAAGATGAGGACAGGGCACTTATGGAAGTATGCCATACAGATTCTTAATTCAACTTTCATTGGATCATTCTGAAGATGAATTAAAGTCTGACAAAAGAAAATAGACAAAAAGGCACACAAAAAAGAAACCTGTCAAGGGCAGGGAAATCATTCTGACTGATCATTATTTACTGACATCAGTTTAAAAAAAGGTCACAATGTATACTGTATGTTCAACTCACCTGATACTGATGTCAGAGATAGGTCCTGCTCGGTAACTTGGAAATCCACGATGACAGGAGATGAGGGACTCGTACAGCTAATGGATGTTAAGCTATTTGTAGAGGGACTAGGCGGTTTAGACTTCAGATATGGATGTGGACTGCAGGGAAAGTGACTTGGTGATTCTGGTATTTGAATAATTATTAATAATAATTGTAACTGCAAATATGTGTTTTTACTTAATTTAAATTATAATCATGGCTAAGTAAAAAAAAAAAAAACTTATTTAACATGCTCAAAATACAACAATATATTAAAAGTATTAAGAATGTAAACTATATAATGTTTTCTCTGTATCTCTAAACAAAATTATCCTTAAAACCAATATGGAAGGAAACAGTCTATGTTATTTGGTCATGTCATAAAAGGAAGAAAACTAGTAACAGTGGGAAAGCTGGAGGGGAATGGAGGCAGTGAGAGATCAAGTAAGAAGATGCTGGACAATGTAACATCATAGCATGGATGATCATCTGCGTCAGCTGTGACTGAAAGTAGGTGAGAACGAGCGAACGAACGAACAAACTTTATTTTCAAAGGGTTAAGAATTGGGCATGCAGGCAACATTCTGCCCTTCCTCTCCGCTCCTTTCATACAATTTTTAATTTGTACCTCATTTCATAGTTAATAATAGTAATATTAATAATAATAATAATAATAAAAAGAGGAATGCACAATTAAAAATTTGAGAAATATTGAAAAGAAACAAAAGAACAAGAAAAAGAAGAGAAAAAAATTTACAATATCTAAGTCTTAATTACAAATGCTGGAATGTGCTCTAATTGATACTGACATTACTTGAACGTTTTAAAGAGTATAATAATAAGCCTATTCCAAAAATGATGTAAGTCTTACAGGTTGCATAATATAAACATAACCAAAACCAATTAAATATTAGTTACAAACATTGGAATACATTCGACTGACATCTTCAGTTTGAAACACAAGGTGTACACTATAAGAAGAAGAAAAATTAAGTATAAGGGACTTACAAGGAAAGACAGAAGTTTGAAAGCAAACATATATAAAAGTATACACCACTTTAAATATTAAAAATGTCAAAAAGTGTATTTAAAATAAAGATAGGTTAGATGTTATTGTCACAAAGTCTACAACTGATGCAAATGGTTAGAAAGGATAAAAATTAACTAATACTATATTCATGTTTTCTTCACAAGGTCATGCTATTGTCAATACTTAAGCCTGCTGTCATCCCATTTATTTAGTTTTCTTTAAAATTGTACCTATACATGTTTATTCTTTGGTTTTTATTAGTGATATATATTACCCACTATTTCATTTACTTTGAAGACGTATCATTGGAAAAACACTAGTAAATCTGATGCCTCATGAAGCATAACCTCTTATGCCAGTTAACAACCAAACGACAAATGAAGTAAGATATAATGGCTGTAAGGTCATAAAGTTATGTGACACCAAGCAGACGGACTTGTACTGTCATTGTGACCACATTTTCATGAGTATACACATCGCTTAAATAATTTGTTTCATTCCTGTATGCCATCAAACAATGATAAGTTTGACAGATTGTTTATGGTAATTTTAGTACAGACTTGTTGACCAGTGATCCAGGAAGTGTTGACACAGCTTAAGTCAATATGTTGATTCTGTGTTGACTTAAAGACAGGAAGTGTCAGTGTGGAGAGAGCTTGTCTTGGATAAGGTGTCAAACAAACATCAAAATCTGAAAATGTCAGTCCAGGATTCTTGCTTATGTGACAGAGTATGTGCGTTTGAGCTGAGATCCTCTTCACTTGCTCCACAGATATGTAATAGTGATGTACACATTAAAAGGAGGCAGGGCAGAAAACACCCATCGCACCGCAAAAATAATCAGAAAGTAAAAAGTGCTGAGGGCAGAAAATCACTACTGAAATCGGAAACGATAGGTAAAAAGAATGTTCAAATTCTTTACTGGAATTGTGTAAGTGTTAAACAAAGATGACCTATCCTGGACAAATTAGTATTTGGTGCTGACGTGGTTGCTTTGCAAGAAACACTCCTAGGTGACAATACACTGAAACTCACAGGATTTCATACGTCTTAGAACAAGCTACACCAGGGACAGGCTATTCTTATCTGAGATAATATCGAAACCCATGAATCCGACATGTCTAGATGGCAAGATGCCAGTCTCCAGTTACAAGCTGTTACAATACGTGCAATACGGTCTTTCATGCTGGTTAATGTCTACGCATGTAAGGATAAAGTAAGCAGAGAAAAGTGGATGTGCCTTCAAGAAAAAATGCAAACAGAAAAGAATATATTTTCCTGTGGCGATTTCAACGCTAAAAGTTACCTATGGGGCAATAGTTTAACAAACAGACAAGGGGAGGATTTGGAGGATGCCATGGTGGAAATGGACCTAGTCTGCCTAAACGATGGAAGAATCATCGGGATGGCCTATCAACCAGAAGAAGAAGACTGTATTTTACTTGGCTTTAGTTTCACCTGCACTTAGTCCACACTGTAGTTGGCATGTACTAGGTAATCATGGCAGTGACCACTGTCCCTGTGTTATTCTTTTAAAAAATGGTGTCAGCACACACCATAGAACACATCAGAAAATGATGTCCAAAGCAAGCTTAGGAAAGCCTAAACAGCTGCAACAACCAATGTGGTGGAATGATGAGGCTGAGTCAGCGTGGGTACTTTAAAGACATGCTTTAAAGATCTGGCAGACAGCAATAAAATCCACCGACTCTACTCCAGACCTACTGCAGAAGTGCAAACACACCATGCAAACCACAACAGCAGCCTTCAAAGCAGTTGCCCAGCAAGCCAAAGACACAACCTGGGAAATATTTTGCCATGACGTGTGCAAGGTAAGCTCTCTTGCCAACTTCTGGTCAATACACAAGGCTATGACAAGTGCTGCCAGACGCCGAGGCATCAGAGACTTCAGTAATGAAGACCAGACATGGAACAGGTCTGATGGAGAGACAGGAAGAGCACTCCTTGACAGATACCTCAAGAAAATCTGCACGCAAGACAATGCCACCTGTCAGACTACCATGAATATGGTCGTTGCAATATATGCCCGTACAGGCATTGAAGATGATCAGCTAATTACGGTTGCTGAAATTAAGAACATCATTAAAAAAACAAAAGAAGTCTGCTTCTGGCCCTGACGGCATTCATTATGCGGACACTGCCAAGCTGCCCACAAAATCCATGGAGGTCCTATGTAAAGCCTACAATAACAGCATCTGTAATGGTACCATCTCAGAAAGCTGGCAGCATAGCTATCTGATTCCACTAAAAAAAACCTGGTAAAGACGCTCCGCACATAAAGGATGCAGAACACATTAGTCAAAACATTGGAATAGATAATAGTGAGAAGACTGACAAGCCATCTTGAAGTACATCAGCTGCTACCTTCCACACTTGGAGGATACAGACAAAATAGGAGACGCAAAGAGGAAACACATTAAACATATGTGTTGGCGACAATAGTCCTAAAATCCCATGTTGTAATTATGGTCTTGATAGTCACACTCGTTATTACCATAAGCTGTGATTCTATGCCTACTTATAGCACTATTGTCTGGAAAGATGAAAAGATGCACGCACACAAAAACATACTTCCATGAGTGCTCCATTTTTATTAAATTTTAATATGCACATGCATATCTTCTGTGATAACTCACATAAGGGGTGGACTTTACAGCTAGAATGTCAACTTCTAAGGGATTTTAAACCTCCTGTTGTTTACCTTACCTTACTTTCAGTGACAAATATATATATATATATATATATATATATATATATATATATATATATATATATATATATATATATATATATATATATACACACACACACATTACCTAAAATTTGGGGAAAATATTTGTTGGTATACTTCTAAGTCACTCTGTCCCTAAATGAAAACTCACAGCGACCAAACAAGAAGAATATTTGTCCAAAAATATTTGTAATACCATTTTTGCTGAGTGAAGGTTCATCACATTTTGCTGCTTGCAAATCCTTGAGTGTATCATCAGTACTGATGGGAATGCCATTTTCCGACAAGAACTCGTCCAGGTCCATATATTCAAGATTAAAATCTGAATTGCCCAGTGACCTATCCCACAGATTTGGACCAAGAAAAGCTGAGCCATAATTGAACTGGGGTAGTTCAGACACATCTTCTGTCTTAACCTTGAGGTACTCGCTCGCTGTAAAGTAAAAAAAAAAACTGTTATTGTTAAATGGTCAATAACATAACTTTTACTGTAAAGTTAACTGAATTAAAACTAATTAAAAGATTATGATGGTGGAAAAAAAAAATGTCTACAATGATTATAATACAAGGAATACAAGAATACAAGGATTATCAACAAGGAAGTGATTGAAAATGTCACAGATTTTGTAATATTTAGGCTCAGTAATGAACAACAATGTTCACTACATAATAGTAGTCGGAAAAGACTTATGGCATATCACCTGCAAGCAAGTTAAAGTCTTGAGATTATGCATCTTTCCCGTGGCAACTTATAAAATTTGATACTCAGGTACCTCAGTTTGCCTTCTCTTTTAATTTTTCTATCATTAACTATAAGGCCTGGATATCAGCTCTAACAATCCTATGGTCCAAAGAGCACTATAAAGCAACCACCTTTTTCAGGCTGATGACAGCAACACCATCCAGTCATTTATCAACTGTTGCCTGTAGCTTGTATGCTGTCCCTGCCTATATGCCAGAATATCATCTGCATATGTCCACATTCTTCGAGCATAGTGGCTTCTGGTTCTTTAATCTTACAAGTATACATATTAAAGAGTACTGGTGAAATGGCAGATCCCTGTGATAGTCCTGGGGTGATACTGCATGGATCTGAAACCCATTTACTAAGATTAAAGGTAACCATATGAGAGTACAGGACTGAAGCTACCAAATTAATTTTCCAGTGGCAGACCCCCTTCTCCACACGTTTGGACATCAAAATATCATATCTAACTTTACTGTAGCCTTGAGTGGGTACCAGGTGCAGTCCTGGGAAGTAAACGTGGCCGGTGTGATGCTGACCACATCACCCAACAAGTGCTGATTGGTCTAAAAAATATGTCTAGCCCTATATTCATAATATGCCTCCTAAAGGTGTGAAAAAGGGACCTTTACTTTTAATTCTACTGTGGGCAAGCTCAAGATCAAGTCCTGCTACCACTGACTTCTGAATACAATGGTGGTCTCATTTGGCCAAGAATCTGTCCCTCTGATAACTACCCAAACCTGCTTTAAAAAAAAGGCTGCAGTATGACAGCAATGGTATAATTCAAAATATTGCCAAAAGTATTTTGTGGAATGATGATCCTAAAGCCACTGAGTTTTGAGTTATCTTTGCCTCGTTTTGCGAGTGAAATTAAATAGCTGTGCAACTGATCCTGGGGTAAAGAAAGAACCGTTCTGATGTTCTGACTGAAAACGAAAACCATCTCCCTCAGGTCATCCTCATGTCCTTCATCCTGGCACCCCTAACACAGTCTGGTCCCAACACAGCATCTTTCACTTTTTCAATATATTCTTTAAATTCTCAACGTAAATGATATCCTCACAGTCATTATCAAGGTTCATGCAAAGTTTCTTATTAATGGTTAAACCATATGCATGGTTCTAGTCCACCTTTAAATGGATCTATAATTAAGTCAAAAGCAAATGTGAAAAATGTAGATATTAAAGATTTCAGCTGTTCCGCTGGTCGGTTGTACTGATTCCAAAAAAGACAGTTTCCTCATCTGTGATTTGTGGTGAAGTAAATAAAGTTGATGAAGTAGCATGCAAAGGTTCCATTTCATTATTGGTCTTCTTCTTCAATCCTTCTGTCAGAAAACGTATATCAGGAGGCCAGTACCCTTTTACAAAGCTATTTTGTAGTCCATATTTTCATGTGTACCACAGAGCTTTGTCAGCATTATGGTTGGAATAGGCCAGATTATGTCTCTCTTGTCAGGATATATGAATTGCTGCAGTTACATACAAGAGCTCCCTCAGACGACAACAAGACTATTAGGTTCTTACAAGGAGAGGCCAACCCAACAAAAGCACCACTATAACCAGGCACATGTAACACATTACCATGTCCTTTGTAGCCAGTGACATTGTCTACAAGTACCGTAGAATAATATACCACTCCAAGTATGATCTTATAGTGTGATCAGTCTTTTTTATTATAGACAAACACATTGCGATGAAGATGAGCAGGTGGTCGATGACTCACTGTCAAGCCTGCCAAATACGCACAAATGCAGTCTTTCCAGACATGGACAAAACTTTCCAGCAAATTATGTACCAGGTGCCTGCTATGAGCGACACACCCAATCGCACAGATACACCTATGTGATGTGCAGTGGAATTCTTCTGACCGTTCATTCTCTAAATTACTTCACCACTCAAGGACTTGAGGTAGATGCACCACTTAGTGAAAAGAATCCAGACCTCCCGTCTGCTACCCCAGCCATTCAATGAAGTATCACTGACTATCATCAAATTATTCAACCTCCGATTCTGATCAACACACACAGTTTCCCAGCACCTTCTGTACACTGAAGAAACCCCCAACCAGCGTGCCACATAGTCACAACCGTGTGAGACTGCACACATGGCTGACTTAAGTCCATTCTAGAAATCACACTGACCGAATTCTGAGTCCAGCTTGTGATCCACTAGGATCATCCTGACAGTTCACATGAGCTGAACAGAATAAAACCAGAAAACCACATTGTAAAAACTGTTCTATTACACAGTCCATACATCCAATAATATGCAGTTAAATTTGTGAACACAAGTCCACACAGTCAATCTGACTGAAAGCTACTGACCCAAATTACCATGGGACTTTTCCCAACCGCAGTCAGCTGCACACGGATCTCACTTTCTCACACACTTGGGATTCACAACCCATTTGTGCTGTTGGCCCACACAGATCCCACAATATCTATGATGTCCTCAATACTCCTGTTGTTTTCTCCAGTGGTCCATGCTCCACAATCTTCTAGTGGTCCAAAATGTTTACATTCCCAACCTGTCACACAAAGTCCTGACTTCATTAACTCTCTATACCTTAGTGATTCTGCACACAACATTTCCTAACAATAGATTATGTAGATGTCATGTTAAAAAACAAAGCAAAAAAAGTAACAGACTAATTCACCTATCTGGGTAGCAATTGTGACTCTCAAGGAGATACTTTGAAGGAAATTATGACACAATATGCACTGGCAAAGCACCATGTTTTTAAAAGCCTTAATAAAATATGGAGCTCAAAACTATAAAGGAAATTATGACACAATATGCACTGGCAAAGCAACATGTCTTTAAAAGACTTTATAAAGTATGGAGCTCAATACAATGAAGGAAATTATGAAATGACATGCACTGGCAAAGCAACATGTCTTTAAAATTCTTAACTAAATATGGAACTCCAACTCTTTAAGACCAAACTATGAACAAAAAAATTTGATAAATTCAAAACAGAGTGAGGAGATCAGAGAAATATCTGGACAAAAATCTGAACTGACTGCAATAAGACAAACATGGTGGAGACATATTGGGCATACTCTGAGATAAAATGAGCAAACAATTACAAAACAGGCACTAACATGGGAAACAAACGGCCTGAGAAAAAAGAGGACATACAAGGAAAATATAAAAAGAACATTATAACAACAGGCTAAAAATGCTGTGCTGAATTCCATGAGTGGAGTGGAGGAATCAAATGTGAGGCATATGTGACGTCTAATGGCACATAAATGATGATGATGATGATGAAATAAAGTCAAAATTAAAAAAAGAAGCAAATAACTAGCTTGCTGCATGAATCTGACAATGTGAGAGAAGAGTATGCCTCATGTGATGTCTTTAATATGGATGAAAATTGGCTTTTTGGGCACCAGTATGTGACTTGCATCATAGAAGAGATGAGGGCATAGCCATGTAATATTCTTGACAACAATAGTGGTACAGCATTCATTTGAAAATGGCGCATAATTTGTTTACTTTTAAATTGCAAGACTAAATTCTTGGTCCCCAGTTAGCACAAATTTAGTTTAACATCGGGTGGACAGACGTCTTGCTTCCACCAGGACAGTCCTGTTTTTTTAGATGTATCCCGGCATTAACTTGAGTACTAAGAAAAATTTTTTTTAAAGCACCATATGCCCTGTTTTATATTAATCTCGAAATAAGCTCGGGGGAAAAACCATACATTTATAGTTAAATTTGTAAAACTTATAAGAGTTAACAGTTTAAGATCCTTTTTTAATAATAATAAATTCCAGATTAAGTGGCGTTAAACTGACTGGCTTGACATGTCCCGTTTTCAGCTCAAAAAATTATGATCATCCTGTTTAAAATGAACTCTTTTTTGGTCCCTTATAATTTGTATATAGGAAGTTTGTTGCAAGACTGTTGTCTGCAATAATGTATATAATTTACAAGAGATTCTTCCAAAGTATTTGGCGGGGGGGGGGGGGGGGGGGGGGGGGGGGTTACAAGCCTCACAGTTAATAACAGTAACATCATAAGAGAAAACAAACTGAGGTACCTGGGTATCACTTTCGATAGAAGCCTGTCCTACAGGGATCATGTGGAGGCAGTTGTGGTGAAATGTGAAAAAGGACTTAATGCTCTCAAGATTATGGCAGCAATGGACATGGAACAAAGAATGCTGTTCACAATGTTCCAGCATGTGATCCTGTCGGTGATAGATTATGGACTTGGAGTGCTCACCATATCAAAGAGTCAGCTGATAAGACTCGAACGCATACAGAATGAAGCCAGGAGAGTAATTCTGGAATGTACAAGAGATACCCGGCTGGTATTTATGCGATATATACTTGCAGTGCCTACTATTGCAGATAGGCTCAAAGTTTTGCAGGCAAAGTTATATCTCAGAGTAGCTGCAGACAAGAAGCACCTCCTGCTTAAAGCCCTGGGTAGAGAAAATGGTCACAGACTGAAAAGAGGAAGGTCTAGAAAGGCGCAAGCTGCAAGATATAATCAGACATGTATGCAGGCTTGATAATTTTGAGCGAGGAGAGAAGTGATCAAGGTGTTTGAACAAGTTTCAGAGAGTTCCCACCCAAGTGATGTGATTATCTATACAGATGGCTCTGCGCTGAGGGGCAGACAAAAAGCATGGAGTTTCATAGCAAAGGCGATTGGATGTGATATCACAACGTCTAGTTTGAGAATGGAAGTGAAGGCAGTCTCTGCTTCCCATTGCTGGCTTGAAAATCATCCGTACACACATGTCGTGATTGTAACTGACTCACAGAGCATGTTGGAAAAGGTGAAAACAGGCATGTTTCATGGAGCATCACTTGGTGGTAAAATAAAGTATGACTAGTTAGATATTGTTACGGCCCTTTGCACGAGTGAACAGTGCGAAGGCACAAACAGATCATTACAGTCTAACCAGAATGGCGTTAGTTAGTTAGTTAGTTAGTTAGTTAGTTGGGTTATCCTCATTGCACTCCGGACATGTCCATAGGTGCTCAGATCCTCCCCTCAGTATGAACCCCAACGTCCGATGGCTAATAGTACCAGTTCTATGTTGATTAACAAGTCTTCTGGCGTAGCTGGTGTGCGTCTCGTTTTTTGCTGTGCCGATCTTAATTCCCAAGTCTGCCATTCTGGCGAGTGATGTGGATTCACTGCCACCAAAGTCCTCTATTCTTCCCATTTCTCTGAGGGCATTGATAATATCAGCATGATCCATAGGATGACCGTCGGTAGTGATAGCGGATCCAGCCAACCTGTCAGCTCTTTCATTTCCATCGACGCCTGCGTTTCCCGGAACAAAAATAAAGGTGACTCCACGAACAGTGGACTTCTGTAATGATTCAAGCCATTGTCTTCGCACTGAACCTGCCTGAACCCTCCGGATCATACTCATTGAATCACTGAGTATACACACGCGGGTGTATTTTTGTGTTTCAAGCCAGGCAAGCGCTTGTGTCACTGCCATCACCTCCATCGTCATGCTGCTGGTTGTCATGGAGAAGGCGCCGTTGGCTTCTTTGACTGTTCTGCCCGCTGAGCGTGCTGTAAATGCCCATGCGCTTCTTCTTTGGCGTATAACGGATCCGTCTGTATAGATTATTGCATCTGCTTCGTCTGAATTTTCACCGATGAGAGCGTTGACCTCTGCATTAACAGCAACAGGATTCTCTTCTCTACATCGCCTGTTGAGTGTGACAATACAGGAAAATGTACAAATAAACGCCTGAGGCACAGGTATCCATTCTGCACCAGGTATGATGTCGGTTAGGCTGCATATTTGCCTAATGACATCTTCTGCCCGACCTAGCCACGATTTCCCCCTCTTCAGTCTGTCGCCCTTTTCACTAAAAAGCGCTTGATGCAGTGGGGTGTTTCTTATCAGCGCATATTTTGAGATATGCCCGAGCCCTCCACATCCTGATCCTTTGGTTCATTGTTGGAAAGTCAAGTAGATACCTCATTGCTCCACAGGATGTGTCTCTAGTACATCCCAAAATAATGCGCATGGCTTCATTTTGCACCTTTTCGAGTCGTTCAATCTGGGTAGCACTGACAGTGAGGATGGCCAGAGCGTATTCTATGGGGGAAAGGACCAGACCGTAGAATAGAAGTCAGAATGGCGTTGTGGGGAGTTACTAGGGTATCTGGCACACGCTCAACACTCAGGGAAAGGATGAAGTGGATATACAATCAGACAGTTACTGGTAACATCGAAATAGGAACTCTTCGCTTGCTGCTGAATTTGGGGACTGAGCATTTATGGGAGTGTCCCGAGTTATGTTATGTCAATCCTGAACTCAACATTCTGTTTTTTTTTTTTTTTTTGCAGCAGTAGTGGCAAAGCAACAATTTTCGTTAAAGCAGCAATGTGAAATCCATTCATTAAACATGTAAAAATTATACTGTAAGCTAAACACAATGGTACCTCTGTGTACGTTCACTCTAGTATAGAATGACTTTGTATTCATCATATTAAGACGTAAAAACTGATGCCTGGTATACAATCTGTGTTTGGAATACAAACTTGCACAAGTAAAAATAAGTCCCATCATCGCGCATTATCTTTGTTTACCTCTCTGGATACAGACCCACGGATAGATTTCAAAAACTTTACAAAGAAGAATTGCCCTAAAATAGCCCAAACAAACCATATTAGCATGACATTTTTTCATCAGGAGAAAGTATACAAAAAAGCACTCTAGCCAGAATTTCTTTTTTCAAGTCAAACCTTATGAGCCTCAACCAGCCTTGATTAGTGACAGAGACCGAAAAAAAAGAGAGGAAAACAACAGAATTTCAGATTTGGGAAGTTTCACTGAAAGGGTACTTTCATTTTAAACAATAATATCTCCTCTTCTTCCCTTTTTAGTACCATCCTAATAAGCACATGACTCCTCAGGATGGTAAAGGTAAAATTTTCATTTATTTCATCTAGCTGCTTTTCTATTTATGTACTTTAGTATTAGGCAGTATATAAATTAGTTTATACCTCAGCCATCTATAACATGCCAATAACAACAGGATGGTTTTTTATGTTAACAGATCAATCATTCTCTGGTGAACATTACTTAAATATCCCCAAACAGAGCTGACCCACTGTTCAATTAAAAGTTTGACTGTTTGACTTGCAGAAGGTTAAGGGTGTGTCCCGCTTTCTTTGTTGTTTGCTTTTTGTGTTGTCTTTCATTTTCATTTATGTTTTCATTCCGAGAAAGAATATGCCTTTGACACAGGTTGCAGCAATCTCTAGTAGGGTTGTGTTAGGACCAGTACTCCATTTGTTTGGAGTGCTAAAAGCACTGGCGTGCTGAAATATAGAGCAAGCGACGTCAACGGTATCGCAGAACACCTCTCTAACCTTGTGTGAAGGTTACGAGGCTCAGGAACTACTAATAAGAAGTGACCAGGCGTGTATGTAGGCGAGGAGAAGATGTGTGTTATGTTAACCCATTCTCTTTCTATTCGTTTCATGGCTGTGCCGTTCAGTTCACGAGTGCATTGTTCAGTTCCTGAGTTCCCAAGTGCAATTTTACAAAGGACCATGGGGTTTGTCACCGAAACTACTAAGTTCGTGCTTTGTGTGATGCTCTCAGCAGGCGGTTAGCTGTTCTGTAGACAGACTGAGCCATATGGGATAAAACCATAGCGCAATGAAGTAAATCCTCTAAAAAATTTTAACAATTAACTTTTTATTATTGGATTTAACTTCCAAATGGAATCCAACAATGCTAATTGCTAATTATGGCCATAATTTAGAATATTTGACTCAATTACCAACTAAATGATTATCCAAAGCATTACTGTAAAAAAAAAAAATACTGATTTAAAGCAAATATTTTTTGTCTTGTTTATGTTGTTTCTGGGTGCGTGTGTGCTGTTAATATATATTTTATAATAGTATGTGACTTAGTTTTACTAAGCTATGACCACGATCGAAAAGATGATGAAAAACTTGGAACTGGTGATTTTTCGTTTAAACTTGATAATCTTCCTGCCCTACAGGTGTCTGCAGTTAAAAACTGTTAGGCAAAAGGTTAATAGATATATTTATACATGCAATAAATTTGCCACATTAGTAAACAATGTGCTAGAACCCATTTTTCAAGTCTTTAATTTTAGCTTATGACGTTGCACAAATTCGCGTCACGTTTCTAAACACGTGAATGGTAAATTATCTGGTGTAAATTGTTTATTATCACAAACATATTTGAGTAATAAGAAGCTTAAAATTCCGAGTGTCAACTAATAAAGTAACATTTTAATTCTGTATAACATACCATCTCCGAAATATTTAATTAAGAGGTTTTTAATGCGTTTTAAAATTAGCAATGCAGACTTCACTGGAAAAAAAAATTCAACCGACCGTCAACACCTGACCTAATAAATAATACATAGTATATTACTTCTGATGTTTTACTTACATAGACCCACCGAGGGTGGATTTTTCAAGTTTGGATCCTCTAGGAGAGCTTTAAGAGTAAGTGATCCGAGAATATTAGGTTGCGTCTGCATTTCTAATAGGAAACCACACAAATTTGCGAAGATGTAAATACGACTGTAGTGTATACGTCGACCCACTTCTACTGTGTTTATTATTCCGCGACCAGGGCAGAGAGTTTTGCAGGCCAATCGTGTAAAATCTCTGTGGTCACATGGTTTTCTTTCCTACGAGGACTAGTGAAGGTCATAAATTATTACCAAAACCTATAATTAAAATGTTAAAATTTGTAAAACACATAAGAAGACATTCGAAATAGCCTCCATCCCTCTCTATAATAGTTTGTACTAGCTATAGACTGATCCATCCATCCATTATACTTTCCATCCATCCGTCTGTCTACCCCCCCCTCCTCCCACCCACTCATTCATTCACCCCACCACCCATGATCTATCTATCTATCTATCTATCTATCTATCTATCTATCTATCTATCTATCTATCTATCTATCTATCTATCTATCTATCTGCATGCCTGTCTGTTTGGCTGTTGGTATTTGTTCGCTAGCACAGGCACCACTTTCATTCCATGAGGATGTACTGTTGTCATTCCCACGATTCAACCCTGGTTACGCCATATTGGCCAACCACTCCCTCCCCCTTAAGACACTCAGTGTACGGTGTTGTGTCCTTCGGCGTATACTCCGCCCATTTCCTATGTTTACCGACCCAGTTTTTCGCTTCCTGCCCGCGTGTGGCGATATATAGGCTAGTACCTGTCTTCATGAACGAAGTTTTTCGCCAGGGACACAAATGAGTATCATTTATTTTGTACATCAGAGTCCTATGTAGTCACTTCATAGTTAGAGCATATTTGTGTACGTGTACTGTGTTGTTCTTTATGTGCCAATGAAGGCTAATCGCCGCAACGTCCTTTGTTTGTTTATTGTGATCGATTTTGTATAGCTAACATAAACTATCTGTTCTTTCTTACCCCATTTTTCTCTTCCCTATAATTTCCAACAATTAAAAAACTTGCTATTTGCAAGAATCCTGTTCATATTGCCCGACGCCCTGTGCTGTGTTTGTAAAAGTGTGAACCTCTCATTTGTGTGGAGTGTGTGTGTGTGTGTGTGAGAGAGAATGTTTGTGTGTGCGTGTGCGTGCGTGCATGGTTGGCCTACATAGGGCCTCAAGCGCTGCTCACCAGTAGCTAATCCTAAAAAGGACCGACACTCAGTAGTAGCAAATAGAAATAGAAAACCTGCATGATGTCATCCTCTGCCCTATCCAGCGATAATTTGCCCCTTTAAAGCCTATTGCCCTTTTTCTTGAAGAGCATGTGGTGCAAATGGTGCTTCAGATTTGAGCTTATCTTAAGGTATGCACAAGCTTCCAGATCTTGATCCTGTAGTTCATGGTTGGGAATTCAAGAAGGTACCTCATTGCTACAAAAGAGGTGTTTCTAGTTCACCCCAGAATAATGCTCATTGCTTTGTTTTGCATCTTCTCAAGTTTTTCAATCAGAGTATGGCTGACAGTGAGGATGGCTGGAGCAATTTTGATGGAAGAAAGTACAAGTCTATGGAACAGAAGCAGAAGTAGTCTCTGTTCAGAGTTAGCGGCAGCCAGGACCTTCATTGCTGACAGGCCTTTGCGTGCTTTTGTTATAACATGGTCAATAGTTAGTTGCGTATCCTTTACAGGACGTTGCAGAACCAACCCCAACAGCCCCTGGCTGTTGTGTGGTTTTTATAGGCAAATTTACGTCCAGTAGATTGCCATTGCCTCTGGACGGTCGGCTTTTTTTTGATACCACTGCCGAAACCAACGCAAGGCGCATGGCCCGCAGCTGGGGTCGAACCTGGCATCCCGGCATTACGAAGCGTTCGCATCGACTTAGCCACAGACTGAGTAATATGGTCAATATGTTCTTTGAAGGATAGGCTGCGATCAAACCTCACTCTGAGGTATGTCATCAGATTTGTTCTTGTCAAAATTTCCTCACTGCTTTCCACTGCTAGTAAGTCTGCCTTCATTATATGCGTGTTCAAGGAGAACCACATTTTGGAGGCCTTTGAAAGGTTGATATAAGTTTGATATGAGCATTTGAATCTGCACACCAAGTTCAGATGCGATCAAGTTTACTCTGCATTGAATTGGCAATATCGATGTCGATATACCAAGACGTAATTAGCAAATGACAAGGTCCTGCCACTCCCCTGCAACTGCTGCTCAGTTGTCAGCACTGTGTACACGTTGAATAAAACAGGAGATAGCGGAGAAACTCCAGGCAATCCTGGACTGATGGTTATCGGTTCTGAGGATCAAGAACCACACTTCCGTCTCTGAAACAGTGCAGTTGGAGAAGTATGTGCACCAAGTATTCAAATGATACTCTGTTGTACGCATCCTCTAAGTCTAAGGCAGCTGCATATATCTCTTCTCTCATATGAAAACCTTCATAGACTTCACAGGCGAAGTTTGTGCCATTGTCTCTTTGCTTTATCTGTATCCTCCAAGTGTGGATGGTAACCTGTCATGCTTTTCTAGTCATCAGTCTACGTGCTACAATTTTCTCCAAAAGCTTGCCCGTAGTGTTTTAGTATTGATTCTGTCGCCACTGATCTTGGAATGGTCTTTATTTAGTTTTGGTAACGGTAGTAGGTAACTGTGTAGCCACTCCTCTCTGATTTGACAACTTCTGATGATGACGTTAATCTCTTCTGCCAGTTCTGACTTTCGTGAAGTGATCCAACCCACCCCACACATTCGACTATTCGTGAAGTTAACGCCCCTAGCGAGCAGGTCACATTTCAAATATAGACCCGTCCGGTGGGTATATAGTCCATAATATATATGTATACCTTTATCTGGCGTAATAAGTATTTCTATATGCTCTAGTTGTCTTGTAAAGTCTACATTTTCAAACTTACAATTGTGGGATAGATATTTTCCCGATAAATAGTCAGATTCCGAGTAGCCTTTTTACTCCTCGGCGTACTAATTTGAGAGGTACTTCTTTGAAAGTGACGCCTAGCGTCCCGCTTCATTTTCTGTCTGACTGCCAAGAGAAACTGATGTTCCTAAATGTGCCTCTAGTATCTGTGCTTTGAGGAGGCGGCCTTTTGTGTCTAGGACATTTCATAAAGCTTAGTTAAGTTGATTATAGTTTACAAGTACCATGATATTTGTCTCTATAAAGTTAACCGCTGCTGCAGGGAGGAAAGATTCAGCTATGAGACAGAACAGAACGAGACCGTTCTTGGTGTCCAAGTACTCACAGCCACTTAAACCAATCCTTTTCCTTCGCAAGCTGATAGTTTGTGCCCTACCTGTCCCAATATTAATGTAATTGTTTTAATCTAGCAGGCTAATTATTCTCTAACACACTGAAAGAGATTCAGATCGAGATGTAGCCGGCAGATTTAACTGGGCCAAAGTACAGCGCGCGAGACGCTGTGACGTCAGAGTTTTTAGACAACACAACACGGGGTCAACTCATGGCAATCAGTGGGGTATAATAATAATAATAATAATTATATATATATATATATATATATATATATATATATATATATATATATATATATATATATATATATATATGAGAAGGAGATGGGATGTGTGTCTACAAGTGCAGATTTGACTGTGGAGGGATGATGTTCTATGTATGATAGAGTCTGTCTCCACTCTCGTACTCGCCTCCTGTCCCTGTTACTGACTGACCGACAGAGATTATACATATAGACTTCTGCTGTCTCATTATCCTAGAGCTGTCCTCTGAGTAATTGCCAGGGGTGGAGGGTAAATAAATGAGCTAAGCATGTGACCTCTGAGATGACTACTAATTCTGAGTTCGCTTGAGGATAAGCAGGTCGCTGCGAGGTATATTGATGTTGAACTTATGTGACAGTAAAATATAGCAATCTTGAGGTCGTGGACTTTACGCGTAGGTGCGGGGCCAAGCCAGGACATGAACTGTTGTAGGCCAAAATACCCATTAACCGCGGAAGGAAGAAACTGGGGTTGAAAGTACACCCAGCATTGGACTAGAAAGACAGACAAAGATGCTGGTAGGATGACCTTTAAGGGACAGTTGAACTAAGAACGATAGTTGAGAATTTGCATAAACTAACCAGGCTATGGAAAATTCCCAGAAAGTAAAACTTGCTAGAGCAGCATACACCTACCGCAACACAACGAGAAGATGGCCCAGCTTAGAGAAGTCACGAGGGGATTGACCCAAAAGGAACAATGGAGGTCTGGAGATTTGGGAGCGGGGATCAGAAAACTAACAGTTTACTTAAGGACGGTGACCGGGTGAGACAGAGGCCTAATTTGCATATATTAAAGAGATGTTGAACTCTGAGTCGGCATGAAGATGTAGGACAAACGGCCAAGGTGAGCGTTACTTGGGGAAAGTATATATGCTAACGCAAGGGCTGAGAGAGGCAGATTGTGCTTAGAGAGTCGACCGGTGTCCAAACCGTAGGGTTGACTAGAAGAGTGAGGACGAAGAGACTGATCTGGAAAGTTACAGGCGCCCATGCCATAGTATAACTTTGAGACTAGAGAAGATTGTCCAAGATCGCGAGACAACACAAAGTCTTTCCTGCACATGAAAGTTCACAAGTTACTGGCGCCCTTGCCATAGAATAACTTTGAGACGAGAGCATAGCGTCCAAGATCGTGGAACGACGGAATCGGTTGAGCACATGTAAGTTACAGTTGTGTCCTGTGTGTATCATGGTTAGCACTGGTAGAAGTATGGGGTAGGCAGTGTAAGGACATGTAGGGAAAGAAACATGATGATGATTGCTCTGATAGCATTAACTGGATCTTGCGAGTCGTCTAACTGGACAGCGAGACATAGGAATTGCCACGATGATAGAATCAAGTATATTAATGCAGTAGATGAGTAGCTGCATGTATGAATAATGATAGCTGCGAGCAGGCAAAAGCTCGCGATACCAGAGGACAACCAAAATAACAACAAACAGTGGGGGTAGAGAGTCCGAAGGAAACCCTGTAGTATTTGGGCCAAAAGCCCAATATCGTATTTCACAGGTAGAGAAAGCCGTGTGTGTGGTGAACGAACAGGCTGTCCCTAAGATGACCTTTCTGTGTCTGCACTGTTTTGATAATGATTCAGGAGGAAAGCAGAGGGCACTAATGTCTTAAGATGTATAATTATGTGTGTCATGGTTGTGATGAAGAAAATAGGCTTCTGTTAGAAGATATAATAACTACTGGAAGACCGGCACAGCACATGATGGTGGTGTTTATGATAACAGATAAGCATGACGTGTGAAGTATCATATTGAACAGCAGAGTTAGCGCTGCTAGGGAATGATAACGCCATGTGTATTAACAGGATGCAGTTACAATGTTGTTAACGTTTAGTTGTGATTTGAAGAGAGAATAATATAAGAAGATATGGGAAAGTGAAAGTCATTTAGCTTGAACTGTCCTCGGCAAGCTGCCGAGAAGGGAGCACACGGATATAATAGAATTTACCTGTAAAGGGGCGGGACAGGAGTATCAGATGTTAAAGTGTGTGGTGGATATAGGGCTAGACCCACATTTTATAGACCAATTAGCACTTGGAGAAGGAAGTGATCAGCGTCCAACTGGCCGCCTGTACTTCCCGGGAATCTACCGCATAACCATTTGAGGCTTTGTCGGGCTATGAGTTAGAATAAGCCTATAGATATAATGTAACTAAGCCGCAAGTATTAGTTGAATTACAGGGGTTTGTGAGCTGAAGAACTGTGTATGGCATATGTATTTGATTAATTGATGTATTATTATATATGATGATGATAGCAAAATAGGAAACATTTCTCTGATTCCATTTACAGGAGAAGTCAAACAACTAGGTGTTTGTTATTTGAGACTAACCTGGGCTAATAAGACCGGCTTGTTAACTTCTTGTTACTAATATATGACTATTTGTCTGCTTTGCGAATTCAGCTTATGTTTAGTGTTATTTGTTGATCATATCGTTTGGAGAGGTGTTGTTGACTTTAATAAACTTCTTATTGTTGTGTAACCTGGAATCTAGTTGGTTTAGTTCTATTTAATATTTAGAATCAGGTTTGGTGACTTGTATTAGCCGTCATATAGAGTTAGAGTCAGAACTGCACTGGTACAACAGTACTTCAAGGGTCGCAGACATTCCTGCGGCCTCTGTTTAAAGAACCTATCTTCTTCTCTTATCTATCTCTTTTGAATTGATCCAAGGGTGAGAGTACTTAATTGCTCCGCGTAACGACATACCTACTTAGTCCATATTGTCTTCTCACTATTATCTTTTATGATCTTTAACGGCTCCTCATTTTCTCTTATATTTCTCTAAACTACTCTTTCTCATACCCTTTAAGCCTTACAACCACCCATCGGGGAAATCACTCTGGGACAATTTTGGCGTCGTCGGCAGGATCCTAACAGCAAGTTTCTCGAGTATCAGTGCATGTTAGTTAGTCGATATCTTCTGCTAGAATTGTCAGTCAACAAGTTGTGTGTAGGACAGCAGAGTTGCAAGTGAAAAGTTAACGTCTGCTAGTTGTGTACAATTTTTTTCAGTTGTTAGTGCTGTCGGCTAGTAGAGGTTTGTCGTCTGCTAGAAGTGACGAGTTAGAAATTCTCGCTAGTCAGTTCAGTCAGTAGGGATTGTCTGTGAGGATTGTCTGTCAGGACGAGTTCATTTTCGGTGTCCGCAGGTAGAACTTGGTATCGAGTTTCGTTGTCTGCTATCAGTAGGCGAGGTTACTTTTAAGTCTTTTCCCTCCAGTTCAGTTAGTATCTTGGTAAGTTAACACCGGCAAGCCCAGGAAGGTTTCTTTAACATAGCCCGAGGAGACAGACACCTAGGATCCCCTTGTGTCTCAAATAGCAGAAGATGGCCGCCAAAGGCACTAGATCTTCAGCTAGATCAGAAATTGAGGCTACGGCTTCAGTTTTGGGAGCCATGCAGTCAAACGACGGCAGCGCTCAAACAGCGATCGAAACCCCTAGCCCGGCACAGCAATACATCGTAATTCCGGCTAGACGAAACGTACGACAGTTTGGACAGCATGATGGGCCAACTGTCGAAGATTATTTAAGAGAGGTGAGGTCGGTGTGGAGGACTGGTGCGTTGAGTCGTGAAGACAGACTCGACGTGATTCTTGACAGTATAACAAGCCGAGTGAGAAGGGAGTTAAAGCTCCACTCACCCGACGAGGACCCAGAGGAAATGCTGCAGGTGATGCTGCGCATCTATGGCGAGAAACGCAGCATGCAAGAGCTGTTATCGGCGTTTTACTCTACGCACCAGAACCCTCGGGAGAATCTCCATGAGTTTTCTCACCGACTACATCAACTCTACGAGGAAATCGTCATTGCCCAGACAATGCACGGTTTGACACCTTTAAGCGAAAGATCGCTGAGAGATCAGTTCGCCAGCCAAATTAAAGACGATTTAGCTAGGAGAATGCTAAAAGAACGACTGCTCCAAGAGCCTAACCTGACTTTTCTTGAAGTCAGAAAATGTGCCCTTAGGTGGGCAGGAGCGAAAGTAACTGCGCAAACGGAGGTGAGTGCTGTAGAAGCGCAGCAGAACCAGAGACAGAATATTCGAGAAGAAAATGTAGTGGTCAGTGATAGGCAGTCGAGGCCAGGGGATTCGGCCAACAGAAGCTCTACAAACAGCGAGATTGAGTCTTTGCGAAAGGACATGAAAGAATTAAAAGTCCAGATGACACATTTAATTAACAACCAGAGGCGACCCGAACGCCGCATACAGTGCTGGAACTGTGGGGAGTACGGTCATTTATCATCAAGGTGCCAGAGAAGAGGTTTAAACTAGAGCCCACTGTGGTTAGGAGTCAGACTCCAGAGGGGCTTCGCAGGGACTCATGTGTTAAGATAAAGACGATAGGGCCACGACCGGAAGGAGAGGTGCAAATTAAAGGTAGAACAATTAGATGTATACTAGATACAGGGTCGCAAGTTTCAACTATTACAGAGGAATGTTTTCAAGAACTGTTTAGGGACTGCCCGCTAGAAAAAGAACAGTACATTAAGTTGACAGCTGCCAACGGCATAGTTATTCCTTATTTAGGCTATTTTATTACTGACGTGGTAGTTTGTGATAAAAATATTAGAAATTGTAGTGTTTTTGTTTTAAAGAATTTGAGCAGCGCCACCAGCAGAGTGCCTTGTATTATAGGCACTAATATTTTGAAGGAAGTGTCAGATTTAGGTCATTGCTTAAAATTCCACAGCGTAGCAGAAGACGCAGATGAGACAGGGTGGGGCAGCAAAAAGGTGTGGTTGGTCGGCGCAGGTAAAGTTCACCTGCCGGCCAACTCAGTCAAAACAGTAGCTGTCAAGTGTTCAGTCACTGGCGCTGAGCGGACAGTAATGTTTGAGTCAGCCCGTGACCTGGAACACAAGGGTTTAGTTTTCCCGCACTGTATTACTGTCTTGCGCCAGGGTGTTTGCTTGGTGCAGGCAGTTAACATGGCCAGTGAAGATATATTTTTGTCCAAGGGGACACAGGTAGGCGACATTTGTGAGGGAACGGTTGACCTGTCTAGACATTTTAAAGTAGTGGGGTCACAAGAAATTGAGGTTACGGCTTGTTTGGGTGAGGTGAAGCAGGAAGTGACTGACTGCCCCATTGACCTGACCGACTTTCAGGGTAGTGAGGAAGAAAAGGAGCAGCTGAGAGCACTGTTGACAAAATATGACAGTCTGTTTTCTAAAGACGACACTGACTTAGGGTTTTGTAACCAAGTTCAGCACTCCATTAAACTGACAGATGACACTCCCATCAAACAACCATACAGAAGAATTCCCCCCATATATTATGACGAGGTTAAAAAGCACTTACAGAATCTTATAGATAAGCAGGTGATTGTGGAAAGCAAAAGTGAATGGGCTTCCCCTATGGTGTTGGTGCGGAAGAAAGATGGGAAGTTAAGGATGTGTGTTGACTATAGAGCACTTAATGAAAGAACCAAGAAAGATGCTTATCCATTACCGCGAGTGGAAGAGTATCTCGACGCATTGGGTGGTTCGAAGCTGTTTTCGACGTTGGACTTGGCTAGTGGCTATTACCAGGTGGCAATGAAGGAAAGCGACCAGGAAAAAACGGCGCTTACTACGATTTACGGTCTGTTTGAGTTCACGCGCCTTCCGTTTGGTTTAGCTAACGCCTCTTCTACCTTCCAAAGATTAATGCAGTCCTCTATGCACGATTTGATGTTCAACATAATGCTAGTGTATTTAGATGACATTTTGGTTTTTTCAAAAAACTTTGAAGAACACATAGGAAAGCTAGAAACAGTATTTAGAAGGCTAGGAGAGCTGGGATTGAAGCTGAATCCCTCGAAATGTGTGTTTGGTAAGGATAAGGTAAACTTTTTAGGACACACAGTGTCAGCTCAAGGGATAGGGGCCATGGAAGACAAGGTGACTGCCGTTCAACAAGCCAAGGTTCCTAATACACAGAAAGAGCTGAGAGCTTTCTTAGGCCTAGCAAGTTACTATCGACGGTTCGTACCCAAGTTCGCCCACATAGCTAAGCCACTCCACGATCTGGTAGGTAAACTCAACCAGCGGGCTGGGGCTTCCAAGAAGAAGAATCCTATAGGGCAATTATGGTCCTTAGAATGTGGCGAAGCATTTGAAAAGTTAAAGGAGGCGTTAACTTCGCCACCACTGCTAGGGTTTCCAGATTTCTCCCTAAAGTACGTTCTTGAAGTCGATGCCTCTTACGATGGGCTTGGCTGTGTTTTATCCCAAACACAGGACGGAGAGAAAAGGGTATTAGCCTATGCTAGTCGAACTCTGCGCCCTTCAGAGAGAAATGCTAAGAGTAGCTCGAAACTAGAGCTACTAAGTCTAAAATGGGCAATGACAGAGAAATTCAGGAGCTACCTGTTAGGTGCTAAAGTAGAAGTGTATACGGATAACAGAACTTTGTCCCTGTGGAAGAAAGCAAAACTGGGCGCTATTGAGCAGAGGTGGATAGCGCAGATGTCTGTGTTCGATTACGAAATCAAACACAAGCCAGGTCGAGCTAATGGTAACGCAGACTATCTATCTCGTTATCAGCCGACACCTCAACATTATTCTATTTCAGAGTACTGTTGGTTCTTAATGAGAAATCCTTAAAACAGGCACGCGACACGAGCGGTATGTAACACTGACATATCGCGTCCTCTAGACATCTGCAGCGATCCAGCATACTGAATGCCGTCGGGTCTGGTGAGGTGTTGGGCGATTTCTTGAGTGCTGTCTGTATAATCTCAGTTGTAACACTGAAATCGTCACATAGCTCTGCTTTTTTACACAACTCTGTAAGTGTTGATTTAACTCTCAGTCTGGCTGCCTCATCTTTTTGGTCGGTCTGGTCAAAGGAGCACTGGAGGAGAGCATGTCTTTTATCTGCAACAGATTTCTGCCTTGTCAAATCTGCGCTTTGAAAGTCTGGGATACCCCAACGTCTTATGGTGCCATTCATCGCCACATGAAGTCGCCAACATGTGGCAAGAGACCCTTCAGAGCACACCTTCTTACAGTAATCGTCCCATTTCTCATTCTTGACCTGCTTTGCGCATAGCTTCAAACCCATCGTTATCTTACTGACTTTATCTTTCAGGTCACCCAGGAGCTCTGACTGTCACGTGCTACTCTTCCTGAGCCTCTACCACACCTTGACGGCCAGCCTTTATTCCAACCATGCCCTTTCAACTTCTTCATCCCACCACGGTGGCTGAGTCAATTTCTTTCTGTCTGCGGGAGTTACTGTATTTACTTTGCAGAGTCTAACTTTGCTGATGGCATCCTGTCCTGTGTTGTCATATTGGAAAGTATTTATTCTGCTTATCTGACTGCTTCCCCCCCCCCCCCCCGATCTTCTCAACCAAGACAACACAGGGCAGGTAGTTGCTGTCATGGTACCCCAGTGTTCTCTATCTACAAACAGGGGCGACTGTGGGGGACACTAGAGCCAAGTCAATCACACTGTCAGAGTCCTAGTGACATATCCGTCATTTAAACATACCAGTTCAGCAAAACCAGAGCCTCCTCCAAATCTTTTCCCTGTTTATTGGCATTTTTTAATGACATTTCACCACTGGCTGCCCCTGGCGTTAATTTCTCCGCAATAAATTATGCTTCTTTCCCCGGGCGCAAACAAACGTTGCCACTGCGGACGTTTCCGTTGCAGGCGTAAACTTTGACGATCGTGAATTGGGTGGGGGCCAGCACTCTTACTACGTGCACCTGCAGGACGTCACTGTTTCATTCAGACAATCAACTTCAGACACTATCATGCTGTCAAACCATAATGACCTGTCCGAGGTGACGCCGATTGTAGAAGAACTGAAAACCCGCAACTTTAACTGTCTCGTCTCCTAGACGTGTTTCCTGCAAGGCTACGGTGTTATTGCCGCAGAGAAGCTTTTCAAGAATGGACCGTCTCTGATTAAACAAGGCACAGTTCCAGTATACCACACGAACATATTTTAGGCTCAGCCTGCCTAAACGTTTCTAGCTAGCACCAGCACGCTTGCCGATCTTTGTTTTTGTCGCCCGCCGCCGGGTTTTTATAAATGCAATTTCACCACAGGACGCTGATGAAACGCCGATAGGACACTGGGAACTCATGCACGAACTTCATAACACAGCCCAAAACCCTGTTACGCTCCGGATATTACATTAGACACATAACTAGTGGCGAAACACCCTTCGTCCTAACGGGCGAAAAATGTGTAGTAAACCTTTAACACGCAACCAGGGTTGCCAGATTAAAAAAAAAAACCGTCATTTTATGCCAAACCATTACCCATAATGTGCCAGAAAATGCCAAAAAAGTGTAACATTGTACTCGCTTTACATCTAAAGCTCTAGATTGAATTCTTCACTGTAATTCTCAATGGAACCAGTGGAAGATACAGCGTGTTCCTTTTTTGGATGTAAGATTTTTAGGCATTTTCTTAGATAGGATGAAGTCTTTGCAACTCATCTTTAATGATGGCATATTTCTTGTTCCGAAAATCATCAATAAGGTCATCCTTAAGTGCAGGCTATATAATATTTTGGTTATTTATACGATGGTCTCCCCATTTACACACCACCGGTTGTAGGTCAACTCCGTTAATAAGTCGGTTGGACTAATCTACCACGGTCGAGGTTATGGGTGTCGCTGTCTGTTGTTTTCTGGCATTTACGTTTTTATTTCCAAGAGACGGCCTGTGACATAGATTTTGTCACTATCTAGGGGGGTCATGAGTTAGAACCAGTATTTAAATATTTTAGAAGTGTTAAAAGCTCTGGCATGGTGAAATATACAACACGCGGTATGAGCGCGAATGCGGAATATTCCTGTGACCTTGTTTGAAAGTTGGATCGCTTGAGGCCGACCTATCAGGGGTGAGTGGTCAGTAGGTCGTCCAATCAGAAGCGAGCTAGTGTGTAGCAGTGTGTAAATGGGGAGATCAGGGTACAATTTACAAGTATTTTTTTAATTAGATATGAACGTTTAGTTACATACAACTGTATGTGCTCCAATGTACTTCTCCCGCCCATGCGCTCTCATGATTTCACTTAGATGATCAGTTGTGCGTATTGCACAATGGTAGGTCATGCCTACAGCAAATTGCAATTCTGCTGCCTTTAACTTTATCAATACTTTGCCTAGGAGTCATTGTTGTGATAAGCTGTGACTGGCTTTTTGAC